GTTGGTCTCAAACTCCTGAGCTCAAGCAATCTTCCCGCCTTGGCCTCTCAGAGTGCTAGGATTACAGGCATGAGCCACTGTGCCTGGCCTATTGTTTTTTTAAACCAGTCTCTAGTCCTGTGTCACTGGCAGTGATTCATGGATCTCATTTGCAGATTCTTTAAAATATCTTGGAACATAATTGTTTAGTTTGAGAGAGATATGAACTTACAAAGTAGCTAGGTCTCCTTTTTCGATTCCTTCTCTTATTTTTCATATCTATTCACCTTTCATGCTTTTTATTCTTCACTTTTCAATCTACTATTTTCCTTGTTAAAGCAGACAAATGAGAGTCAAGGTGGGGTATGTTTCCAGAACAACACATGTAGCTAAATTAATTGCATATAAAAGAATGTACAAAAATGCTTATCGACTTCCAGGTAAAGTTAATTTTGACTTAGACTGTTGAGAATTTGAATTAGAGGAATGGAACTTGGAAGAGAAAGATTATAGAGAAAATCTAACATGTAGAAGAAAATATTTGGGAGACAGCAAGTTTTATAGAGAGCTATCGTAATTACGTGGGCATTATTAGAATGTAAGGTCATCATGGGAAAGAATGGGAATTATGGAAAGTGGGGATCATGTGAGGAGGCAATTTTGTAGAGTGAGACTTATGTACTCTTAGCACCTCAAGTTGTATGGAACTTTATGCTTTAGACAGTCACTTTCATGTAAACTTCTGAGATAAACAGGGGTATTCTTATGTTGTCCATGAAAAAATTAACAGTTAAGAAATGTACCAATTCCACATAATAATATATGACCCAGTTAGGACTGAAATGCATTATCTTATATTTCCAAATCTATATTCTTCACTGATACTGTTGTACCTCTATTGCCTCACCATAGTACTCTACATGTACTTTGATTTGATCCTCAAAAACCTTGTGAGGTATGTAGTTCAGATATTATTATGATCTCATCTTGTAGATAAGGAAAATGAAGGTGAGAGAAGATAAAGTTAACTAGATGTAAAGTAGCTAGGAGTGATTTCTTAACCCCATTACTTATTTTCTATATCTACTTGCCTTCCTCTTTTTCATCACT